CACCTTTCGTTTCTTCTTCTCCTTTTTCAAGCGTAATCGAGTTCTCAGTTCACGTACGGCCGATTATCTGTTTCGTTTCGAATTCCATTTGGAATTCGCGATTGTCTTCCTGTGCCCCCTTTCCCATCCCATCCACCCACTCTCTCTCTCTCTCCTTCCCTCCCTCTCTCTCTCTCTCTGTTCGCAGAGATACATAAATCCAGAGGTTAGCTGCCGGTAGAGTAGCTCAAGTAACGGTTAAACGGTCCGGCCTTGAGAATACTCGCGCTTCGTCCAAATTAGAAACGACGACCGAACGAGAGGTCAATTCGAGCGCGGGGTTTTCGAACTTCTTCAAACGACCGACCGTCTACCGGACACGAGCCACGTTTCCTCATTTTTTATTACTTTCTATTGGTTGCGCAGCAGAGCATCATCATCGAACATCGCGACCCTTAACCAACGAACGAAAATTGAAACGTAGCGACGAAGAAATTCTTTACAAGTCGTATTTTCATGTATCTATCTAGGTGTATATATTATGATCGAGAACGAGACAGCATGAACTTTCTAACAATATGCAATTAATTCAGTGGGAGTTCAGTGGGAAAAAGAAGGCTACTGTATAGCGTAACCTGGACGATGTCTACCGCAAAGTGTAACATTTACATTCAGTTGAAACGGTTGCAGGCGTTGACGCACAATACCGAGCAAGCGACCCAGTAACCAAACTAACTTGTTTCACCGGGTGCATCGATTTTGCCGTTGAGAACGAACGCAACAGACGTTTCCGATCCGATTCTTTAGTAGCTGTTGTCATTGCGTTCTTGCAGCGAAAGAAGCGTCGAGAATAATCGAGAAGTCAGCGTATTCTTGGCTCAATTATTCCGTTCGTCGTTAGTTTTTCGTTAGTTAACTCTTCGACACAGCACCACAGACTTTGGTTCGTTCCAGTTTCATTTGGTTAAGGAGATCCACGATGAATAATGGGGTTAAATTGCAAGAAATACGGTTAACCATGATACTATCCGTGATTCTATCCGATGAACTGGGACAATCCGACAGAATCCAATCCGATCTGGAGCGTTGCGCTCGAAAATTAAGCCTGTCTCGCTTCTACTCTCATTCTCGCAACCAAGCCTTGGACTCAGCGTCCCGTCTCGGGATTCTTTTTTCGTGGTCGCTCATACCTCGATCGTTCTTCAGATATACTCGCCAATTGAACGCGCGCGATTAATTGCATAATATGGCAATATAACGAAAACATAAACGAACGTTCTTATTTAGAAGAACCAGCTGGTCGTTCTTTAGATCTCGTTACCTAACGGGACGCGAACCTGTTTCCGGGGATTGACGAGAGACCAACCATCACCACCACCACCGCCGCCGCCGCCGCAAAATTAATTTCACTGGCTTCTGTCGTATCCGCGAATCACGTGTCGTGCGCGATCGCGAGGCGTAACGTATTTAAAAGCATAAGTCGTTATCGAGTTGTGTGGTTTCACGAGTGACGAACGTTGGCTTTATCCGCGAAGACTTCCCACCACCAACACGGACTCTAATTACCTACGCGCTTACGTTTCCGTCCAACCCGAATTGGTCCAAACTGGTCTTCTCGTTCGTTACCGTACAACGACTACACTATCAACTCTGCTTTTATTACGCGAAACAATAAACACTCGTAGAATAGAGGCCATTCTTTTTTTATCCGGCCACTGCTGTTGTATCATGTTCAACGTGATCATGAACATTGCTAGTTCGTTGCTCGCTCGCTTTACAAGGTAATCTATTTTGGCGTGGGTCACGTTCGAACAAACGAGAACTGGACCTCTTCCCTTCTCGATGTGCTCTCGGTTTCATCTGAAAAAGGATCAGTTTTGGCCACTCGCGAGAACTGGTTTTCGTCGGATGATCAAAAACATAACAGCTGTTACGCTTACCTCATTCTGTGAGAAGAATTTATGAAATTGGATTAGTTTGTGGCGACGAACGATCCTCGCGAACCTCTGATCTTGTGATTGATAGACCTTTATTCGCGAGAAAAAACGGGGAATAAAAGCACAATTTTCTGGGTGAATTTCGTATAGGAGGGTGGGGGAAGAAGATGGTAAGGCTATAAAGAGGAATTCCATTCACAGAAGAAGGGCTTGGCTTCGTTTCCCTCTGAATAAACACCGTCTTGTCGATTTACGTTCGATTGCTCGGAAGTCCCCACGCTTCCGACATTGCTTGCTTTTGACATCCTGATAAGTTTCATCGAGTTTCAACGAGAAGGAAGTAAACGTTTTAGCCACTCTAAATATCGCTAAATATCAAGGCCAGCAGTTAACCGCACCTTGCGTTATTGTAAACCGTTCTCGAATGAACGAAGATTATTGCCTTCTCAAGACGAGTCGCGTAATGAGAGACGAATTAGGAGGGAGAAAGTCAAAGTCGACTGCTTACGATTACCACCTCTAAATAGGTTAGATTAATGAAGAAGGTTAATGTTTCCAAATATTAGAACTTTCGCGCTGTTGGCAAAACTATCCTACAGAATCTTTCCGGTCGGTTGGAAATTCATTTATACCGCAAAAATACCGGAGAAGACAGGTGATCTACAAGGAAATCGAACGGTATTAACTTGGGCAAAGTAAACGCAAGTCTATTGAAATACTTGTAATCGTGATTATTCGCCGTGTTGGAAGATCCTTGATTTTCGTATTAGAACAAAAGCGAAAAAAGAGTAAAGGAAAGAAAAACAATCAGCCTGTCCTGTTCCGTGTACAAGTTTATGGTTTTGTTACGTTTGGATCTTATTGACCGTTACATTCCGACTTGAAGTGAAACAACATAGCTCAGAGTTTTTAAGGAACGCAACTATTATTTCTGGCTCGTTCGAAATACTTTCGAGTCGTAGATTAGCAAGCCAGATGCAGAGAATTCGCGTGAAATTGCTATCATCGAGGACACAATAAGACGACCCAGTGTGTAAATGAACAATATTGAGAGAATATAACGATTAAAAGAATCAAGTTCAATTGATCTGAACACGCGTTACTTTTTCCGGCTTTTCTCCCTGTGTCACGCAAGCTCTTGAGAGAGGGCTAGCGACGATAACACATTTACAGACATATGTAAGTACAGGGTGTTACATTTAAGCGGTAACGGTGGAATATTTTACGAGGAATTGAAGCTATGAAAATAATATTCGTACAAAAGTTGTTTGGTATAAAGGGGCACATTACGTGGTATAAATAATTTTTCTATAGGTGTAGTAGTGGGGAAGATACCAAAATAAAGTTTTTTTTTTCTTAATGGAACCCTGTATTTTTTTATTCATAGTATGGTAGCGTTTGTTGTTGACGAACTCAACGATGTGCCACATGAAGTTATTTCGTTTTATGAAAAATCATAAAGTAGTAAAAAATTGGGGAGTCAGATCAACATGTGTTGCACGCTTTCGGCCAGCTAAATCCTACTTGACTGTGCTACTAACACAAATTCTTTACTATTTTACAACTCTCCATAAAACGAAATGACTAAATGTGGCACTTTGTTGAATTTGACTCAAAAAAATTAACTTGACTTTGATATCTTCACCTACTACTGCACCTACAGAAAAATAATGTCCCTCTGTACTTGTACTGAACAACTTTTGTAAGCACATTTTTTTCATAACTTCAATCCCTTTTGAAATATTCCACCGTTCTCGTTTAATTTAACATCCTGTATGTATATCCTACAGTACGTTCTGGTTTTCCTTCACAAGGTGAGATGTCTATTAAAGGGGTACACTCTTCTGTTCACTGATTACAATTCCTTGGTTATTAACACGTCTACTAGGAGTAAGTGGACTATTAACTCAATACGAAGAGAAGCATCGCCGCACGTCTCTTGTAGTTGTCTTATGGCACGGCTCGTATTTCACGAGAATTCGAATCAAACGAGCCGCGAGAAATCAGTGTGGTGTTTTATTCGTGCATTGTTGATATTCAAGATTGGACGAAATATCAGGCATGGATTCCAACGATCTTGGTCATTCCTCGGGAATTCACGATCTCGTCGCGTTGATCGTATCGGCACATACTACATTTGCTGCGTTTACATGTCGGATATCTTCAAATTTCCATTTAGTCAGGATTTCATCCCGTTACGGTCGAAATTCATTCGCCGTTTCCTCATTTTCTTCCGAATTTTTCAACGCTTCTGTTTCACGTCGCGTTGCGTCACGTCGCAAACATGAATTCGGTAAGTGCGTAACTTAAAAAAGTACGTTCTACGAAAGCGAGCGTGCTCTGGCCGAAGGCCAACGCGAACTACTGCCTGTTGAATTTTCCATCGAACTTCAAGAATCTCTTTCTATATAGACCTGTCACCCGTGTTTTTTGCGACGCCAACGCGAGTACACATTTTCTTTTCCGAGTTTCACTATTTTTGCAACAGTGTTGCATATTTTGCTCTGCCTTTGCCACACGTGATTAGGCAACAGGAAAGGAAAACGTATCGCAAACGACTCATGTTTCTGGCAAACGACCAAT